CAGGATGGAGCAGGACCTGGTCAGATCTTGGGAGCTTGGGGTGTTGTCCAAGATCACCTTGTGGCAGGAGGAGCTGTGGGACACACTTGTCCCTGGAGGGTGCCCCTGTCCCCTCCATGGCCTGGGGGATGGCAGAAGCCCCTTGTGAGGAAAGTACAGAGGCACCATCACTGGTCCCAGGGATTTCATGCACTGCCCTGTGCAGGGTGGGGAATTGGGGCTTGCCCAAGGGGGGCCATCTAGCACCTTCTGRSGTGCCCTGGGTGGCCTGGAGTGGGTGCTGGGGCTGAAAAACCTTCTGGACTTGTGCAACGCCTTGAGACAACCCCTTTCCAGGGCACCCAGAGCCTGCAGGAGTTGGCTGAGATCAAAGCTGAATTGAAGAAACAAAGCAAGTCCTGGTGTTTTGAAAGCTGAAATCGTGTTTTCCTTCCTGCCACAAATGTAAACCTGGCAAAGGAGCAATGGTGCCTAACTGTCCTGGGAGGAGGACTGCCCCAAATCAGGCCATCCCACCTCCCAGTGTGAGTGGGAACTTGCTTTGTTTGCACAGGGGGAGAATCCGCTGCTGTGATGGAGCTGCTGCAGCAGAGAGAAGAGAGAAGGACCAGTAAGCACCAGTTTGGTTGTGGGGATGTTGTTTCAGGATATGTATCAGTGTGCTGGGGGAGGATAAAATGGTTAAAGAGCTGGGGGCGGGGAATGTCAAGGTTTTTGCAAGCTGAGGGTCTGGGGGATGATGCCCATCCCGTGGTGGAGGAGGGCACAGAGGGGATGCAGGGAGGTTGGGCAGCCTCGAAAGTTCTTGGTAGYGAATGATAGCACTGGGATRCCCTCTGGACTGAGCCTGTGCTCCACTGGGAGTCCCCAGTGTGTTTTGGGGCTGTGTTGGAAGGTGCTGAAGGCACCCATGAGCAAAATGCGAGAGCTGGGAGAATGTCGGGTTTTCTTCATGCCCTTACCACATGGTTTGTCCCAAGATTTCAGCCTCAGGTACACCGAAGACAGAAAGGTGATCACTGGGGTCACTCGTGGTGCTACTTCTCACTGTCACCATCATCGTACTGGCGGGTGAGTGACTGAGGATGCAGGAACCACCCCAAAGTCTCCTCCCTGGAGAAACCCCCCAGCATGAGTCATGTTGTGCTTGGGCATGTTGTGCTTGTTTTCAGCTAAGAAACACCCACCCTGCACCACTCCCACTCTAGCCAGGTGCCTGGACAGTGGGATTGGCTTTGGAAACAAGTGCTTTTACTTCTTGGAGAAGGAAGTGGACTGGGAAGGGAGTCAGCGCTCCTGCCTCTCCCACCAAGCCCACCTTGCTACCATTGACACCAGGGAGGAGCTGGTAAGAGAAACCCCTGAGGAGGCAGTGTGGAACAGCCTTTGGGAAGCAGATTTGGGAATTCCCTGAAAGGAGTGGCATGGAGGTACCTGTGATCCTTYCTTTCCCACCTCCAGCATTTCCTCCTGCGCTATGGGAACTTCAAGGAGTACTGGGTTGGTCTCCAGAGAGAAGGTTCTGGACCTTGGAAATGGCTCAATGGTTCCCTCTTTGGTGCTCTGTATGTCCCATCTTCTGGAGAACAAAACCATGGCTTGGGCTGAGCTGGGGCGGGGGCTGGATGCGGGAGGCACAAGTAGATATAAATCTGATAAGGTGGGAGCAATCAAACACTATTTTTCCTGGTTATATCAAAACATTCAGACACAACTCATGGATTCCTGGGATGCAGATGTTGATGGGGGGGCTGGGGGCATCCCTGGATGAATCCCCTGGGACCAAGCACATGGAAATATTCCCTCCGTTGAGGAGTGGAAGATAGTTCGGGTTCTGCATGGGGATTTTGCTGGGGAGGGTGGTCCCTGCTCCTGCGGCAACATTAATCCCTCTGGAAATGGGAATCCCTCCCATCCCAGCCATGTCTCATGAGCTCTTGCTGTGCTGTCAATCCAGGTTCGACATCCAGGGCAATGGCCATTGCGCCTACAC